CCCGCCCCCCGCACCCCCCCCCCCCCGCCCCCCCGCCACCCCCCCCCCGCCCCGCCCCCCGCCCCCCCCCCCCCCCCCCCCCCCCCCCCCCCCCCCCCCCCTTGAACAGTTTATAAATGGTTATGGAATAGGCTGAATAGGTCTTTCTTTCTTTCTTTCTTTTCTTTTTTTGGAAGCCGATGAGGCCTTAACGGTATTGGTAGTTGTTGTTTTGGCATTGAATGGAGATTCATCACGAGGCCAAGCATTTGAATCTCCTCGAGTGCCTGAATTGATGTGTGGGTGGGGGTTTATGTAATCATATCACCCCGCATTGACGTTCTCTTTTCGGTGAGTTCACACGGTTCACCGCACTGGATTTCCTGATTTCCCCATCCAAAAGCGGCACCTATCTAGAACCGCTGATCAACAGAATCCCGCCGAGACATAATTATAGATCCCTTATCGATATTCTTTCTTCTGCAGCCTGTCTCGGGGGCACTTTTTGATTACAATTGACTGACACTGAGATTTTCAATTCACCTCTTTTTTTTTTTCTGCGACTGCCCGAATGGAATACCGTTTCTGTGATTTATGATCTCCACCTGAGAACCCATCAATATCAACTGCGGGGGAGCTTGACACCTGAATGAACCTTGAACAACACACCTACCTGCCAACCACCCGCCGTGCGTCTTTGAACGCAGCACATCACCACCTCAAATAAACGATCGACATCGAGCAAAAAACAGAACCGGTTGCTTTGACGGAAACAAAGTTTCAATTCGATTGTCGACCTTTCATTTGTTCAATTTTTGCCAAAAGCAAATCGTAAGTTGGACCATGCCATTCAGCATCGCAACCTCACCATCGTCTCTCCTGCGTATCACTCGACCAAGCCTAATCACTAACTAGTTAGATCTTCCCAGTCCGTGTCATCAACCACCCTAGTCCTGCTCCTGAATATCACTTGTGTGTTTTGGGGCCTGGTTTCGGTGTTTTACCTTTTAGGAGGGTTTGCATCGGTTCCGAGGCGACCTCGAACCTCGTCTTGATTTCACAATGGAGGTAAGTCCAAGAGAGAGATACAAAAAAAAACATTTTGTTTTTAAAAATAAACTGCGCCTTGTTGGAAAGGAAAAGACTTTCACGATCCCTGCAAGCGCGGGGCGCTTTGCTTTTCCTCACCATCCATTGAAAATCCCATCGGCCCATCACCGCCAGTTACACGCACAGTGCTTCTCCTGTCACTCATTGGGAGCAAAAGAAATGCCGTTGGGGCTTTTCGTAGTCTCGCCGTCTCCCCCGGAGCCAAGGATCTCTGGTGTATCCCGTCAGGCAAGTGTCACACCAGCCGCACAGGCAGTGAAGGCAAAAGCAGGGAATAGGCAAGCAAGGGCGGCCATCCGTTGCCAAACGATGATCCCAAGAGAACGGGCCCGAAACATTTCATTTTGTGGAAAATGTGTCTTTGAGTCACTCTCGGAAGGCCTTTGAAGTTGGTTGGTTCTTGCCGAGCCACTTTTTTTCTTCTTGTTCAAGAAGAGAGAGTCTGTACCACCATAAGACTGACCCGCTGTGCCGGTTCCTGCTTTTTTTTTTCTTTCCTTTCTCTTCTGCCTTGCCTGAAAGCGTCATATGTATCTTTACCCCTGACCGCAACTTGGTTCCTGTCAGCTCAGGTTCTCTTTTTTTTATTTTTTTTATTCTACTCTCTTGGACAACAAAAAGTCCCATGAGATGCAGGCAGACTTGAGAATGGGGGCACATTGCGGACTTGGTCACCGCAGGTGATGCTTGCTTGGCCATCTCAACGGTGACTTGTCTTGCAGGCCGGATGCTGTGAGCTTGTTCTCACAGAAGCGGCATGCGTCGAACCGCAACATCACCACCAAAAGTTTGTCTTATCTCTGAACCCGCTTCCCGTCTCGGCCGGTTCATCACTCCCTTCCCGGTAGCCAATCTCACGCAAGGGCCTTCCCGACTGCAAACGAAGCCCTCACCAGAGGGGGGAACATACATGCAAGAGCGGTGACCGGATGAGAACTGAGTCAGTCTCACTCAGTGAACTTGCTCAGCATATATCCGGCTTTTCCTCAGCAGTCTGCCCCCTATCTGCACCAAGTCTTGGATACAGCGTCCTTATCATGTCTTCTCAAACGTCTGGGAGCGCTCCTCCTCCTCCTCCTCCTCCTACTGAGGATGTTTACAGACCTCCTCGGCCTCGTCCCGTCAGGTTCATCAGTCCAGCAGTACTAAATCTTCATCGTGTTTATGAACAGGACCAACAAAGAATTCAGAGCAAAGATGGCGTCAAGGTGCCTGATACGACGGTAGCTCAGGTGAAGGGGAAGCCTCGCCTCTTGATCATGGGGCAAAAAGGGTAAGAAGATGACGCTTCGTCTGGTTCAGGCCATGGGCTCACACAAACACACAATAGGAGCGGGAAATCATCGATTTCGAGCGTGGTTTTTCACAAGTTACCAGCGGCGGAGACGCTTTATATGGAGTCGACGGCCAGAATCCAAAAAGATAGTCTCAAGTAAGTCACCTAATGCGCAGAAGAGCCCCCTAGGTTACGTGCTGACAGATACCTCAGCTCGTTCATGGAGTTTCAGGTCTGGGACTTTCCAGGACAAATCGACATATTCAATAACCCATCGTATTCCTTTGATCTGGACGCCATCTTCGGCGAAGTCGGGGCCCTGATATGGGTGATTGACGCCCTTGATGACTACTCGGATTCTCTTCAACGCCTAAACATGACGGTCGTACACCTGCAACGAAGCTACCCGCACATCACGATCGAGGTATTGGTTCACAAGGTCGACAGTCTTACCGATGACTACCAGGCAGAGATTATGCGAGACGTAGAGATACGGACAATGGACGAGCTTGGAGATTTGGGCGTCGAGAACGCGCCCATCAGCTTTCATAAGACCAGCATCTACAATCACAGCATCTTTGAGGCCTTTAGCAAGGTGATACAGAAGCTGATTCCGAGACTGGGCCAGCTGGAAGCCATGCTTACCAGTTTGTGCCGTACCTGCCGGTTCGAGAAGGCGTACCTCTTTGACGTCAACACAAAGATTTACATTGCCAGCGACAGCACGCCGGAGGACACGACGAGCTATGTCATCTGCTCGGATTACGTCGACGTCATCATTGATCTCACCGAGGTTTATGGTAGTTGGCCGAGGTCGGCCGAGTGGAGGAACAGGCTGGAAGGGGAACCGTTCAGTCAGCCGCTGGAGGAGCAGGTCGGGTGCGAGTGGGCCGAGAGCGTGATGGTGTTGTCTGATTCGCAGCGGCCCATCATGCTGCGCGAGGTGGACAGGTTCCTGGCGCTCGTGGCTATCATGAAGGAAGGGTCGTATGATAAAATGGCGCAGATCAATATGAATGTTGACGTGGTGGTGAAGGGTCTGACGGAGTTTTTCGAGATTACGAGGGCCGGGGAGAAGTCGAGGGTTGGATCACAGGATATGGTTGTTGGGCCGATGCCTCAGAATTGAAGGTAGGTAGGTAGTGGTAAAAGGATGGGTGGTGGGTACCTTGGTTAGTCTGATTGGTATTAGAGAGTTGGAGGAATTCAACTTGAGCGTTTTTTTTTTTTGAGATATATATTTCCGTCGTGTATTCTGAAGAGGAATTCTATTTCCGTCGTGTATTCTGAAGAGGAATTCTTATTTTTTTTTTCTTTCATTTTTACCGTTATCTTCCTTAGGTTGGATCTATTATCCACCATCCCATCTCACCGCGATCTCTCCTTATCCCTCCCTGATTATCTCATCTCCACCTCCACCACACCGCGCCATCCCGACCCCTAGATAGGTATACATACCTATATCCACAAATCCACAACCCACACCCGCAAAAACCCAAACATAATCCCTCATTCTCAACTCGCATCCCGACGATTTCAATAACCACAAAAAAAAAAAAAAAAAAAAAGAAAGGGCGTGTGGCTCAGTTGGTAGAGCGCCCGCTTAGCATTGTTTCTGTTGAACAAAAAGTGATTGCGGAAGGTCCCCGGTTCGATTCCGGGCTCGTCCATTGTTATAAGAAAAGATAAAGTGTGTGAGGGGTTTTTTTCTTCTTCTTTTTTCTTGTTTTCTTTTTCTTCTTCTTTTTTCTTTCTTTTTTCTTTCTTTTTTCTTTCTTTTTTCTTTCTTTTTTCTTTCTTTTTTCTTTCTTTTTTCTTTCTTTTTTCTTTCTTTTTTCTTTCATTTTTCTTTCATTTTTCTTTCATTTTTCTTTCATTTTTCTTTCATTTTTCTTTCATTTTTCTTCTTCTTCTTTTTTTCTTTGTGGGGTGGTTGTGTGTTTATGAAGACAGAGAAGAAGATTGTATGGGCTGGGTATGATGAGGGGGAATTAAATATGGAAGAAGTAAGCGTGTGTGTGTTTTGCTTTCTTGATCCGGAGGAGAATAAGAAAAAGAAATGATGCTACCTACTTGGGATGGGAATTTGGCCATGTGTTTTTTTGTCGTCTACAGATGCTATCTATCTGCAAAGTCTAAACCGTGTTCAAATATAAAAAAAGAATGCATACGTCAAGTGGAATATCATAATATCAACCAACACGCCAGACAAAAGCAGTTGAAGGCAAGGAAAAAAAAAATTGGTGCTCGAGGTGTTAAATGATGTAAGTTGATATTCATCCTGTAGAATTAATTCGTTGACGATGGTTGCTATGTAAGAGAAAGCTTGGAACGGTCAAGTTGCGAATGCCAAGTTAGAGTGCAGCTGCACAACCATTGACCAACAAACATGAAGCCTGGTCTGGGTAGATGCAAGGCCCAGATGAAGTCTCGATCACTTTCCTCCCTTTGATGATATGAGCTTCGCCTAACATGTGATGTGCCTGCCCCTGAACCCCTGGGCAGTTTTTGGGGCTCGGCTGAAAGATTTGCGGGGGTTAATTGTCCGGGCACCGGCTCAACTGCCGAAACGGTCAAACCAGACGGCTGGGACCGTCTTTTTCAACCTTGGGCGGATAAGACCGAATGCACATCTGTCGGTGTAGAATGCACTCAGTTGCAGTTGCAGTTGCGGAAAATTTTTGGCAGTTGGTAGTTGCCCGGGTGTATGCATAGTGTAAGTGGCGAAGCGCTTCCTCTCTCCCTCTCTCCCTCTCTCTCCCTCTCACTCACCGACCTTCGGTGAGGCAGCCCGTCTCCAGAATGACGCTGGAGATGGAGCTACCTGGAGACCATCAGCCCTCACTTCTGGCAGTATCGACCGATGAGTTGGTCAACCCATCTTGACGTGGCCCAATTGTGCGCTTTTGAAACTCTCGTGTAAAGTGTGAATTTGATGATGTTGAATCGACTTTTACTCCACCTTCCCAGGTTGCTCGGAGGCAGCCGAACCCACGGCCCCACATATTGACAACTCGGCAGGCGGCCCTTCGTCCGTTAGTCCGCCGTCTGCGCCTCAACCGCCAGGGGAAACCACCCTCGGCACTTTCAAAAATACCACCCGGAGATAGAGTAAGGTTTCGGGGGAATCGGAAGATGCAAGGGGAAGACAACGAGGCTTGCTAGTTTTCTCCGACTAGTGTAGACACGTATCTATCAGCTTTTCATGGGGGACGTTGATGACTCCCATCTCCCATTTTCAGTAAGGGAAGGTGGGGGTTTGTTTGCTCCCTGTCGGTGACGTCAGGTTGCCAAGAATACATCTTGGGGGTGGAGGGGTTCGACAGGACACAGCTCTGGCAGTTGCAGTTTGAAAGGTGACAAGTCCAAACCTTGGAGTGAGCTTCGGCTGTCGACCGATGATCGCGGGAAGCGCACAGATTGGGAAACTTGAAAAGGAGACACGCGTGACGCGTCACTGTGCTGAGTCTTGCTGAAGGTCCAGCCGCCACTGTCCGTCCCAGGTCCAATGGATGGTCTCACAAAAAGACGGGACGGCAGGTCCATCGGAAGACCTGTTTTTGACCACCGAGGCGGAAAACCTGAAAAGAACAAGCTGATTGCCAGTCAAACCAAAGATTGGCATCTACATGGGACGATGAGCACGTTTGACAAAAACCCAACAAATTTCTGCCTGTGCAATAAGATTCGCGATCACGGAGAGATCGTCCCGGGAAGGAAGGGCCGCCCGAAGGTCAAGTGACAGCGGGGTATTTCGTCACGGTCACGAGTCTTCCAGGTCGAGCTGAGCGGCAAGACACGGAGTTATTACTTTTTTTCTTCTCTTTCTATTCTTCGCCTCACAGAAAAAGTTGGGTGTAGATCAAGCCACAAAGCCACACAAGATTCGCTGGAACATGGCTGGACAGCGGGGAATTTTCGAACCGAGAAATGTGGAACTTTTTTTTTTTGATTCTTTTGAGGGCCCACTTTACACTGTATTACACCCAACATGCGTAATATTCAAATCCCCCTGCTAGCTCAATGTTTCTTCATCTCATCTTTCAATCATTCAACTTCAAAAACATTTTCAAACTCTAACCAAACATCAGCAAAGGACCTTCACCCGTTGTACATCATCATTTCCACCACGCCCCCAAAACTCGTTTGAGATTTTTATGGTATTCAGCAGCTCGGAAATTTGGCACCAAGTCAGGAGTGGTTTCCGGTTCTACGGCAGCCTCTTTCAAATCTTGTAGTTGTAACAACCTGGAAGGGACCTGGAACTGCAAGATGCACACTGCAGTTCTAGGCTCTAGTGCAGTGCTCCAGCCAGGCCGGCAGCCATCGAAGTTCCAAAAACGGCACACCCAATTTGTCGGGGACGGCGGACCTTTCGCCGGTGATTGGTTCGTCGCCCAGATGGCGGCCGAAGGAGGGCGTCAGCCGGCCAGCCAATGAGGCTCAATAGCAGGGATCTCGACTCACACACCTTCCTGCTCACCTTCGGCACTAGCATGGGCATGCTCTCTTCACCAGTCCGATGACAGGCTGTCGTTGGCCGAACCCCTCTCATTGCATGGTTATTACCCGTTGGGGAATGTCACCATGTGGATGTCCTGGTGTGTCAGTCTCGGGGCAAGTCAGGCCAGGCCCCATCTCTCGTGCCTCCCAAAGGCCGCACATATCCCTCAAAAGAGGCCGGTTGAGATACCGGGTCCAGTCCAAGTCGACTTATTCATGCACGGCTTGCCAGATCGGGACAGCTACTGGCAGTTCCCAAGAAGCAGAGCCGTGGCGTCGAGTCAAGTGAACCAGAAAGTCGGCTGGTTCGGGGGAGGGGGGGGGACGGGCAGCATCTTTATTGCTCGACAGAGACAGCCAGCCACTGAGATAGTTGAGACGAGGCATGGACGCCTCGGAGGCGCGCTTGTGTGTTTCATGTTTCTGCGGGAAGCTGAGTTTGATATCTCTTGTCAGTCGCTTCTTGCGTCTAGAGGCAGGAAGAGACGCGCAACCATCTCGACTTTTGACATTCCGAATGTCACTTGGTACGTACTATTCTTGGTGGTGTGCAGCATAGTTTCAGCACCACCTGACTGCTCTCATTTCACAGCTTGTCTGCTGGATATGGAAAAGTCAGTTGAGATGGAGGGCCATGTGGGACTAATCTTGTGCTCATGTCGATGGCTTTGAGACAAATCTTACGACAGCGAATGACGCCTTTGGACTCGGTATTTTCCTTGAACATTTTCGGCGGCGTGCAGGATCGTACCTATGCCGACCCAAGCCATATTCATCAAATTGCAGACACACCAACGAGACCGAGGCGAGCATCCCGCAGATGAAGAGACCCCGTGTGAGGTCCACAACCAAGAACCGGGACGCCGAGCTCGCGAGTGGACGAGTGTCCATTGAGCGGTAACTCGAGGGACTTGTTTAATCTAGACGTGCAGATTGCACGATATTGGGCGAGATATGGGGAATCTCCAGACGCACGCCGGCCGTATTCCGGACAGGCTCGGCAACGCAATCGGATGGCGGTGCATGGCAGGGTATCAGGTAGTGTGTGGGAGTGGCGGATTCCGATAGCAGGAGCACCACAGGAAAACCCTACACAGGTTATGACTCCTCACATTGTTTCTTGTCTTTTCCTGTCGTTTCCAATGGACCTTTTTTTCTTGAGCCTTTGGACCTTGACGGCACGTCTCATGCAACTGCAGGTCGCCCGCTAGAGACAGGAAAGGACCTGCGATCGGCCTAGTGCTGTGATACGCTCTCTCATGCCTGCTTACGCGTAATCTGCCATGCGCCATTCAAAGGGAAAGAAAAAAAAATGAAGCGAACACGACAATCAAGGTTGGCTCATTAATTTCTGTCTTGTTGTCATCAGTCAACATTTTTTTTAGTGTACTTGGGAGGAAGGGGTGTGTACAAGCGGCCTGCCTTGGCATCGACCGTCATTGTAAAATACAGTACGGTACCAGATGTGGCGCTGCATTGACCACAGCTGCAGGTTTTCAGCTGTGGCCGCAGGGGACCCACCCGAAGAACCAGCCCCATTCGCCTGATGACCTTCGGGTTAAATATCATTCAGCATTGTGCATATGCACGCTGTAGCATAGCCCGCCTTTCCTTCCCTCTGGTTGTGTGTGTGTGTGTGTGTGTGTGTGTGTCGCTGGCTCGCTGGGTCTTTCCGTTCACCCATTCCACACATCCCTCACATCCCTCTCAAGCCTCGGTCGGCGGCGATATGCCGCGCACTTTCCCTTTTCCTTTACCAAGAAAATACTATTGCATCCCGACCGTCCAGATCGCAGATGGAGTCAGATGGTTGGGATGGCATGGCATTGCATGGGACGGGATCCATCGGATGCGGATGCAGATGCAAGATAGATGCATTCGGTCACCGGAACAGACACTTGATCAATCAGTCAATCAATCATGGATGATGATTCACTGTATAGCGTAGTGTACCTTAGGGTAGGGCTTTCTTCAGTTGTTCATGGAATGTGGTTGAGAGAACGAGAGAACCAAGGAGCCTAGCAAGGCCTAGGTTGGCACAAAGTCCGTCCTTGCAGATACCTACTGCAAGTATGTACCTGGGTAGCGGGTCCTTTTTCCAGATCCCTCACACCCTCCCACCCACCAGTGTGGGTACACACCCCTCTGTATGCTCCCCTACCGAGTG